GGCGCCCGCGGCCGGCGGGAAGCAGGGGCCGCTACGACCCGGCGAGTCCCGCCCCCGGCATGACCCTCCCCCTGCTCCGCCGCTGCGCGGGGGCTTCACCTGCGGGCCCGGGGGCTTCTTGTCTGCCACGGCCCCCCCCGCAAGGCGGGCAGGAAAGGTGCCTGCCTCACTGAGCTCGCGTTCATGTCAGGCACAAGCCCCGGCTGTGCAGCGCATGGCGGGGCCCGGCCCGGAGGACAGCACCCAAGGGCTAGGGCCTGTGACCCTCCCCCTGCTCCGCCGCTGCGCGGGGGCTTCACCTGCGGGCCCGGGGGCTTCTTGTCTGCCACGGCCCCCCCCGCAAGGCGGGCAGGAAAGGTGCCTGCCTCACTGAGCTCGCGTTCATGTCAGGCACAAGCCCCGGCTGTGCAGCGCATGGCGGGGCCCGGCCCGGAGGACAGCACCCAAGGGCTAGGGCCTGCACTCCTCTGCCCGGCAGCCGCTGCTCCCTGGGGTGAACCACTCCTCAGCCTCCCTGCTCGGGTGAGGGGCACAGGGCAGGTTCCTGCACTGGATTTTCCAGGATCTTTGAAGATCTTGCTCTTCAGGAAGACACAAGCAGTCCCTTTAACCCTGCCGGCTTCTCCAGTTTCTCAATGAAAGCATCTGGCGCAGGGTCCTTCTCCAAAAACCCGTGGCTGTTCCCTTCTCTCCGATTAAAGTCACCCGTTTGCTCTGAGATTGATATTGGCTTCATTTTTGTTCCCTGCTGGAGTTCCCCCTACCTCCCAGTACAGCATCTCCTCTGCACTAGAGTTAACTAAACCCAGGTGCAGCTCCAAACTCTTCCAGGGCATCAAAGGAGATGTTAAAGAGACCATACTTAAGCCCCTTTCCTCCAGGCACAGCCCAGACTCAGCAGCTCAATGACAAATGACCAGCATTTACACTAGATCCAAGCCTCAAGTGACCTGTATCAGGGTAGTATGTCAAAATTGCAGCTGGGCTTCCAGCCTGGTAAGGTGTTAAGAAGAGACTTGCACCTTGCAGGAGGCAAAGCAGATGGACCCAGCAATTCCTTCCTTGCACCGGTGTAATTCCATGGATTTCACTGGTGCTATTCTCGATCTACAGGATCAGATGCAGGTCCTGTGACTTTTGTTCTGGGCTCTAAAGGGAGACAAGGTGAAGAGGTGGAAAGAAAGCAAGCAGCATTCTCTAGCAATGGATACTGCTCCAGGAAACGGGCTGAACTAAATTATAAAGGCATGCAACACATGGTTTTGTTTTTTTTAATCTTGGGATCTTTCTCTCTAGCTTTGTTATTCATTCATGCTTTATCTGCAAGGGGCCAACAGGGTTCCTGGAGAAATACAAGACGCAGGTAAGGAGATGGGAATTGCCTAAAATAATGTTCATTCTTTAAGATATTCATCATCAGACAAGGCACACAGACAGGTTAAGAGACTGGACGCTGCTCTCAGCTGGAAGGCTGTTGATGTAGAGTAGCATCTGGGGGCCTTGAGAAGGATTTAAATAAAGAGAGAGGGGAGTGTGGGGGCAGGGGACAAAAAACAGGGAAGTCTTTATAGGCATAAGAGTTGGTAGAAGGCAGGAAGCAAAGGGAGGGGCAAGACTGGAATTGTTGCAGGCACCACTGCAGAGTGAAATTACAAGGCTTAGATCCCTGGCAGAGCAAGAGGGGAGTGGCCGGAGATAAAGAACAAGAAGGGAGATATAGGGTGGAGTGGTTCAGGATGAATATTTGGTATTGATTTGCTCTCCAGTAATGGTCAGGCAATCAGATCCAAGCTTTAATGCAGCTCTTAAGTAACAGTTCCTTTAAAAACAAGTGCATCTGTGGATGTATCTAGGAAGTAACTGACCATCTGCTGTTTCACTTAAGACCACTGACCAGGGGAAAGCAACTGGCTTAGAGCCAAACAAAACAGAAAACTCTGTCCATCCCTTATTGCACTGCATGGAGCCATCTGGAAAGATGCCTCGTCTTGTACCCTAGAGATGGGCAAGGGAAGCACCTTTCAGCTCTGACTGAATTTCCAAGCATTACTGAGCTAGTCACTGTAGTTCTTGGAGGATGGAGCCTCTCACCAAGTTAGAGGACAGCCAAGGGGACCGTGCTCAGCTTGAGGCTGATGCAGGGCCAGGGAATGGAGTCTGGATTGTAGAATCTCAGAAGCTGCTTCTCCTGACAGTTTTTGGCCCCAGAACAGAAATAAGAGTTGAGCTGTTCTGGCAAATCATCCAAACCTGAAATGACCTGAAGACCTTCCACAGGTGAGATTGAACTCAAAACTGACAGAGGGAAGGTTTCAACTACTTTTTACCCTCCCACATTGAAAGGGGCTCAAATTTAGCAGGCTCAAAGAGCTTTTAATTACTGAAGAATGCAAGAAACATTATGGGGACCTATGTCCAGGAATCGTTCAATTCAGCATTGAAAAGCAGCCACCTCTTTAGAGACTAGCAGACAGGCAATCGACCTACTGTAGGAGAGCACGGGGAGAGGAATTCTGGCCAAAATCAACGTTACAAACCCTGACTCTGGCCTGGAATTCCAATGTCTTTCTTTAATCTCCAGATATTTCTTTATTAAAAAACATAACAAAATTAACTTAATTCTCCAACTGTGAAAAGATGTCCAGAATTTAGACCAGTGGCTCCAGAGAGAGGGTAGATCTATCACACACTGAATGTTCACCACCCCTTCCCCACATTGTTATTTTAATCTAAAAACTTAACGGGAGAAGAGATTTTATTGCCGGAACATCAGGTCTGGAGCCATTAGGATTTATCTAAACCTATAGCATGTAAAGAGTGCCAAGCCAACAGCTGAGCAGCGAATGAATCATTGTCTGATTTCAGCAGAGGTGAGCTGTGGAACAAGTTTATAGACCAACAGCGTGAATCACGTCAACAGTAACGCCAACTTCTCATGAAAAAATCCTGAGACTCCTAATATCAAAGTCAAATTAATTCTGACTCACGATCTCCCAATAGAGCGATCAAATCTCGGGATTTTTTCTTCTGGTGCATATAGAGTGCCATTCTGGTAAGTCTGTGGAGGGGAAGGGGCAGGGGGAGAGGGAAGGGGCCGGGGGGGGGGTTGAGGCAGGTCATGCAACAGAGCCATGGGCAGCTGTCTGTGTCTGTCCTTCACTCCCAAGTCCTATGATGGACAGAGATGGACTTCTCTGTGGCTGCAGGGAACAGGATAAGGAGTAAAGGTCTTAAATTGCAGCAAGGGTAATTTAGATTGGATATTAAGAAGCACTTGCTCACTACGAGGATGCTTAAGCACCTGTAGAATCTTTAACCTTTTCTTGAAAGCATCCAGGAATAGACGGACACTTGACGGGAATGGTTAGTCAGGGATGATCCTGCCTTGAGGAGGTGTTTGGACTAGATGCCTCCCTAAGGCTCCTTCCTACTTTTCCATCCAATCCAGCCCTACTTTTTTATCATTCAAGGTTTCCAAGGCTTAGCCTATCACAAGGGTAACACTTCTGTATAAGAGACAGCACTTTCTTGCAGGTCAGTCCTTGAGCATGAAACAATTTCCCTCTCAAATCCCACTAGCTTCTGCCAGAAGTGCCATGTGTACAACCCTGACCTGCCCCGTCTGCTAGACAGGGATCCGCAAGGACATTGAAAACAACCACTCCAAAATAAAACTTTGCCAGAACAACCTTCCTGTCTCCCTCAATTCTTCCTCCCTCCTCCCTAGGGAGCAGATACAAGAGACATCCAGTCACAGAAAACCAGCACATTGTTTGGAAGATGCTTGGATACTCTAATGATAAAGAGAGGAAAATAACTTCTATGGACTAGGATAGTATGTTTGTTCCTTTACCCTTTTGCTGTCAGATTAGCATGAATGATAACAGAGGTGGGTTTTATAATGAAACTGGGGGAGGAACCCCTAGCTGACTACCTAGGGGCCACACCTAAATGACAAGTTAGTTACCTGTGGCACAGGACTGGATTTGAACCCTTGGCATGTGTGCAAATGGTCACATGTGCTCCAGCTTCTAAACCAGCCACTTTGCAGAGCCATGCAAACCATTTTTATATTAAAGTAATTTGGGCTGAGGGTGTGCTAAATACCCAGATACAACACCCTGCAGAGTTAGCTCTGGTCCCACAGACTCATGCCTATGGTTAAGTGTCTGTGCTTTGAGCAGTCCCATTGCAGCCGATGGGACTCATTGCTATGCAGTGCAGTTAAGCATCTGTCTTCTTTGTGGGAATCAGGGCCCTAGTTGAATGACAGAAGAATCTGTCATACCTTAAAACTGATTGGTTATTTAAAAAAAGGCTCTCCTAGTCTTTAGTGAATTTTGACAGCTGTAGTCCATTATAAAGCCTTTATAAGGTGATTGGAGGCTGTTTTAAGAAAACATGAGCTGGCACCATCTACTGGGGGAAGTGTAATGCA